GCGTTTCTAAGTTGCCCCACATTTTCCAAAAGAAAAACCATTAACTTTTTCAAGTAAGTTTGGAGGAAAACCTGAGCCAAGTTCAAGTTCTAATGGCTACATATAAGGTTAATAAGCCCTTTGTCTGAAACATTAAAACTTCAGAGCAAGGATCTGCAAATGAAATAATTAATTCTCTGATCTGGAGATAACACTGTGCAGTACAAGGATGTAAATAATAAGCCAAATAGGACAAGTGTGAGGTTGACAATAATGATGTCATTATGTTTCTACCTAAAACCTCCTAGCATTAACAGGGGTACACTGTATTCCCCTACTGGGGAGTAGGCAACTGTTTCAGAGAGCTCCCTTTCCTAATTCACTCAGTTTGGATTCCTAATAAAAACTGCCATGAGCCCCTAACACTTTTCCTCATATTTGGAGATACTATGACAAAATTTGTTTCATTTTTAGATAAAAACAAGCTTGATAGTGACCAAAGCCTGCTCCTAACAATGTATTTGATTTAGTATCTATAGTGTCAAGGGCATCTCTATTTATATTCTTGCTTTGAGGAGCAACAAATGGCATGAAATATTTTTCCTAAAATGCCTAGTTAATTGTCTGGTTTTTCTTCAACAGCTGCACTACGCCATACAGTTTGAAACAAAACTTCAAAATACTTTCAAAATATTTCTTCTGCATTTTGACCTACACTTGTAAACACTATAAAAATTAACATTTTTAAAGAGTTAGTTAATGTCTCACATATTCATACAAAACACAAACTATTAATAAGTGTATACATTTGAAACTAAATAGGCATGAGCTCAGATCTCATGCTATCACCCTAGCTAAGTGATTTGGGGAAGAGTATATAATTTTTGAGCCTTGGTTTTTTCATCATTTATAAATGAGGTAACTAATTACTTGTTCATAGAGGCACTATGAAAAATTAAAGATGTAATCACTGTAGAATTCCTAACACAAAATGGTCTAAAGAAACAAAGGCAATCAGATATAAGTAGATAGCATTGTGAAAACCTACAGTACTTAATTCATCCCTCAATTTATCAAGCACATATTGACCCTAGCATATGCAAGGCATCTGGGCAAAGGGCTTAGGATTCAAAGGCTGATGCTTTGTACAGGACCTTAACATTTTTATGAGGGTAAACACATTTATATTACAAATAGGGTAGTGTGTACAAACATGAAAAGCAGAACAGCAAAGTTTGCTTGGGGAGTTTGGAAATATTTCATAAGACAATAAATAATTGACCTAATTGGATGAACAGGAGTGTGGTGGTTTGAATAAGAATGACCCTCATAGGCTCATTTTTTTGAATGCTTAGTCACCAGGATATGCAACTGTTTAAAAGGATTAGAAGGATTAGGAGATGTGGCTTTTTTAGAGAAGATGTGGCCTTGTTGTAGGAACTGTGTCAAAGGGGCAGGCTGTGAGGTTTCAAAAGTCCATTTGTAGCCCAGACTCTACCCTCTCCATCCTGCTGCCTACTGATCAGTTTCCACCCACTCCATCCTGCTGCCCACTGATCAAGATATAGAAGTCTTAGCTACTTCTCCAGCACCATATCTGCCTGTTTGCCTCAATTCTCCATGCCATGATAATGGACAAAGCCTCTGAAACTGTAAACAAAGACCCAACTAAAGGTTTTCTCCTATAAGAACTGCATTGGCATATGGGTGGAACTCTCAAAAAAAAATCATCCAGAGTGAGGGTAACCCAGACCCAAAAAAAGGATAAATATATTATGTATTCACTCATATGTGGATATTAGCTGATAAGTACATGATAACCAATTTACAGTCCATACACCCAGAGAAGTTAGCTATAAAGGAAGAGACTGGGGAGATACATGGGTCTCCCTGGGAGTAAGAAATAGAATGAATTCTATGAGAGAATTGGAGGATGGTAATAGGATGATGAGATTGGAAGAGGGAAAGGGTTGAGGGAGGGAATGTGGATTTAATTTAGGGGTGGTAAAGAAATCTAGTGCAGTGGAATCTTCCTGAAATATATGAAAGCAATCACAATGATTTGTCCAAATAATGGGAAAGACAGAGTCCCAACTGGCCATATCTTGCTAGCAAATGAAGCTTCCAGTACAAGGACTGGGTTATACTCAATGGAATTGTTGACCAAAGGGATCCCATGGAAATTCCCAAACAACTAAGGCTGTTGCCAAAACTATGGCTGCTCTCCACAAACTGACAGCAAGGTCCCATGAAGACATCACCCACACTATTCATTGAACATGGAGAGGTTTAGCTGGTGCTGACATAGAACCTTCACCTCTATGTTACAGTGGTACTCTGCAGGCTACCAAAAGGGAAATGTAAACACCAACCCAACCACAAACCCTTTGATCTACAATGCTGTCCTGCCTGCAAGACATGCTAGGATGATGGTGTCACAAAGCTTATGGGAGTAACCAACAAACATCTGATTTGACTTAAGACACACTCTATGAGATGGAGCCCATACCCAACACAGCTTGGATGACTAAGAACCAGAAACTAGATAGCCCAGAGACCTGCCATAAGAACAAAGTAGTGATAAATGACTCCTGATGATATTCCGCTATACTCATAGATCAGTGCCTTGTTCAGCCATCATCAGAGAAGCTTCTTCCTATAGCACATGAGAACAAATACAGTCAGACATTATGCAGACCTTGGAACACACAGCTCTAAATTGGACGTCTCCACTAAACCCATCCACTTGGTGCTCCGGAAACCCCTTGGAAGAGGAGGTAGAAAAAGTGTAAGAACCAGAGTAGATCGAAGGCACCAGGAAAACAAGTCCTTCTAAATCACAAGATGGAACCAGCAAGCACAGAGCCAGTCTGGATTCCACCAGGTCTTCTGCATATATATTAAAGCTTTCAGTTTAGTGTTTTATGGGACTCCTGAGTGTGTGAATAAGCGGGTCTCCTGTACTTATGTCTTCTCTTGAATTTTTTGCTTCTGTTGATTTGCCTTGTCCAACTTTCATGTGATAGTTTTTGTTTTAACTTCTTATATTTTATTGTGTTATTATCTCTTAGAAGCCTGTTCTTTTCTAATAAGAGACATTGGGGAAATGGATCTGTATGGGAAGGGAGGTGGGGAGGAACTAGGAGGAGTAGGGGGAGTAGAAACTGTAATCAGGATGCACTGTAAATCTATTTTCAGTGAAAGGGGGCGGGGGAGTTGCCTTGGTCATGGTGTCTCTTCACATCAATGGAAACCCAAGGTAAGACAAAGATTCTGTAGAGAACATGAGGGGGACTTGGGGCAGGAAATGATAAAGACTAACAAGACCCGGCTTTTATGTAGGAAATTAGATCAACAGGTTAATTTTTCAGCAGCTCTAACTGATCTCAAAGAAAATTCCAACTATCTGATGCACCACTTTGGATAGTGGCCTTTAAGAAAGACAGAGTAAAGTGCCTCTGTATAATAACATTGTTAGTACATTGTGCTTTGTTTAGAATGTCCCACAATTGAGGACAGAAGAGGAATAACAGAAAAATCTGTAATTTTGGACCTAAGACTCATGATTTCTAGCTCTTGCTTCCCCTATAATTTCTGTGATGGGTTGCCCTTTTCAACGGGAACATCCTGGGATTATTCTAAAAATTGCCTTTCATTAATAACAAAACTGTGCTCAATTTTAGAAGCTGAAAAGAGGATACACAACTTCTCTATAGAAAACATAACCTTCAAATCTTGTAAAGTGGTGAACAAACTATCCAAATTGTTTGATTTGAAACAAATGAGAGCTTCGTGCCACACCTAACGTGATGGAGAGAATTAGCCAGGAAAGAGAAGGAAAACAACTCAGGCAAAACTCCCAGCAAGAGAGGACCTTGGCAAGGTGAGTAAGTCCATTGCTAATGACATTTTCAATGGGGGATGGAGAGATGGCTCAGCAGTTATGCATGCTTACTGCCTACAGAAGCTCCGGGTTGGGTTCCTATTGCCTATATCAGGTAGTTTACAACCTCCAGTTCAGGTATCCAACAGCCTCTTCTGGCCTCCATGGACACCTGCACACATAAGGCTCACATAAATTCAATGCAAACACCCACACAAAATGATGAATATATATATGAATATAAATATATATATTTACATATATATATATATATATATTAATTTTTAAAAGAAACCTAGTCCTCAAATGTCTGCTACAGATCGTGGAGGAATAAAACAGTCTTGCTATATGTCTGAGAAAACAGCGGGAAGTACAACAGTTACTTCCAAAGCAGTCCCTCTGAAGCAAGATGAGGGTGGAACCTAGGGCCAATGGCTATGGGGGTTGAATTAATACTTGAAGTATGATGACTGTTATTCTTTTGTTTAAAAAGAAGAAAAGAGAAATGCTGAGACTTGAGACATAAGACTATAAGTTTATTATAAGGTTCGGCAGAATGGGGAGACTAAGAAGAGGAACAGGGGGTAAATGGCTGACCGCCATGGCCGGTCGCCATAGAGAGAGCACATAGGTGAGAGAGTAGAAAGGAAGCTGAGAGGAAACAGAGAGAGGGAACAGAGAGAGGGAACAGAGAGTGGGAACAGAGGAAACAGAGAGAGTAAAGGGGCAGGGACTTGTCTTCTAAAGGGGTCCTCTGCACCTGCGTGTAGACTTAGTTCCCATGGAACCTTGGGTTGACCAGGGTACTGCCTGTTCCACCAGGTAACAGGGGCAGGCCAGCATAATGCCTGAACCTTTCAATGATAAACTTCTAATGGCTCATTCATCCAGGAATGAGCTGGTTTTACAATTTGACACCACTGGCACCTCCTATAAATGGACTCATCTACTACATAGTTTACACAACAACTCAATGCCACAGAAAGAAATATTATTTATTATCAGTATTCTTCTCTCATTGTAATCTTCCAAGATTTCATTAATACGTAGGTTCCTGTGATAGGAAGTCTGAGTTAAAGAATAGTTCTTTAGCAAATTTTGTTTCATCAAAGGAAGCTTTTTATTTTAATCTACTTACCATTCCGTGGTTCAGCCAACCTGGGATAAAGTTGTCAAGCAATTTGGGGTATATCATCTCTCTGTCATAGGCATAGATGGTCCAGAATACCGCAACAACAAACTGGAAGGGAAAGGAAATCTTTTGTTTCAATTTCATCTTTTACAACACAAAACTGATTAGTTATTTGTTTTAAAAACCCAAGAGAATTTGGAATTTATGCTAAGACAGCAGTAAACCAATGAATGACTAGAAAAATGATTCCTGCTTCACTCTGTAGTAGTAACCAAAGGGGTGTCAAGCCCCTCTTTGGTCTCCAACGATTTTCTTTTAGACAGAGGAGCTGCTTGAAAGGGAGAGAGAAAAGACTTGTTGTTAAGAAGAACACCATCTCAGGGCTAATTGTGCCAGTCTGATTCCTCTCAAAGGGTGGGGAAAAGGAAGATTCCAAATTCTCTTGGAGTAACTTAACTTGGAAATTTATCTGAATTATAGAGGTTTCTTTGGGCCCAATAGCAGCACAGTAATCCAGAGAGAGTAGAAGCAGTATTTATTTGAATGCTTATTTATTGGCTTTATTATTTGTTTTTATTATTTATTTGATTATTCTTCAAACTAACAGTGAGAGATAAAGTTCAGATTCAAATAAAGAAATGAATGGCCCATGGTCTTAGCCATCAGCACAGAGTTTAACAGACAATTTTTTTGTAAATCATACACACACACACACACCTCTATATAATGACTTTTAAAATTCTATAGAATTAAAACAATGCAGCATGAATATAGACAGTTTTGTTTTGGTTTTTGTAATTATAGGTTATCTATAGTATTTTAATTGAACTTTAAATAAGATACTAGGTTATTCTTGGTAGCTCAAGACTAATAATCAAAAGGTGCCAAAATTCTTTCCCAACTGTCTTCTTTGAAATCTGTGTGGTTTTCTCCCTTGAAATCTAAGGTGTTGCAAATATTTACTCTTTTATAAAATGCAAAGATTAATCATTACAGCCAGTGACTGTAAGCCTCTACACATTGTTTTAGAGTCAGATTGGACATCTCTCCTCCCAGTTAATTACCTTGCTTTTGGATGTATGATTTTTCACTACCTGCTTACAAATGTACAAGAGTAAAACAAAAGAAAAATTAATTATTAGCTCAAGGAAAATTATGTTAACTTTTCAAATACAATGAGTAATTTTTAAGTTATCCATGATTTTGAACTATTTGCCATCTTAGACTTCATGTTGTTATGGCCATTCATAACAACTACACTCACAAAGTAGATATTTGGTAGTTATTTTAAACTTTTAAAATGATTTATTTATTTTCTATTTCATGTGCACTGATATTTTGCCTGTATGCATGTCTGTGTGACAGTGTCAGATCTTCTGGAACTAGAGTTACAGGCAGTGGTGAGCTTTCATGTGCGTGCTAGGAATTGAACCCAGGTCCTCTGGAAGAGCAACCGGTGCTCTTAACTGCTGAGTTATCTCTCCAGCCACTGTTTTAAACTTTTATTATATTACCTGCCATCTCCAGCTACTATTTTAAACTTATATTACCTGCCAACATTATATCCTTAAAGTAGGCAAGAATATATAAATTGTTTCATTTTTTCCATGCTATAAATGGAGAAACCAAGATTTTCATTGTTGCTTTAATAGCATTTATTTGTGCATAAGATTTCACATACCATACATGGAATGAACTCTCAAAATAACCATTAGTTATGATCTCACCAATTTTGCTAATAATGTAAAAGAGTCTACAAAGCAATTACTTTACCTATTTATTATGAATAAAGATTGCTAAGGAAAGCTTATAACTACCATGCTTTTAGGAATACATACAAATTTATGTAATGCATACATAGAGTCCAGTAACAACATAAAAATGTAGGCCATTTCCCCACTGAATGATCTTCAAATTGGTAGTCTAGACAGTTTCGTAAGGTTAGGTCCAGACTGCAAGAAGAAGGTGATCATGGGAGCAGGGAGGGGCTGGGGGGGGAAGGAATCCCACTTACAGCAGGGTTGGGAAGGATGGGAGAAGACTAAGAAGTCTTTTTAAAATGGGTGGGTCGGGGATCTAGGGAGCATCCTGAATGGCTAGAAGTCAGAAGACATGGAAGACAGAATAAATGAAACATAAAGTCCAGAACACCACAATAAGAATGAACAGTTGCAAATGAAGCCCACCTTCTCTACAGTGAGAGGGGGCACTCTTGCTGGCAACTGGAAAGTAGGCTGAGCCCAGAATGGAAATAACCTGAGGCACTTGTAGGGGATAATGTATGAGGATGTCACTGAGAATATAAAAAAGGAAGACTCTGATAGTCTTGATGGCTCCCCTGAGACTTGATGACATATTTTTCTAGTAGAACCAACCAGGATGTTTCCCAGGGCTGTGAGGTCTGTGAGAAAGAATTCAGAGAGGATGCTGGGAGTTTCAAATTGCTGTGAGTTAGATGGTTGAGAAGATCTGAGATGAAGAAGCTTTGAGAATGAGGGTATCCTTTCATGACCAACCAGCCTTTCTAAACTGCTGCTTTGAGAGGGACAGTTGTCAATAGGTTACAGGAGATGCCTCTTGTAAACCGTTTTCAAAACCAGACTCTCAATGAAAGACAAAACTTCCTATTTCCACTTTGTTCTTTCTGTATATATTTGACAACTGGGTGAGAAAAAGCCAAATATGGCTGATTTGATGGCTTGGTGCCAGGGATACACTACCAGGTCCACAGCCACGCCATTACTAACTGCAGGCACGTGCTTTACAGTCTGGATACTCAGTGTGGTTCATGAATCAACAGTATCCACATCACTGTCAGATCTGATGAGCCCTGAGTCTCACCCTGCAGTATCTGACCCTACACTTTAATAAACTCTGGAGAATGTTCCTGCTTCGAGAGGCATCTTCTACCACTATATTTTTCCAGCCTTCTCATTGGAATGATGATATCCCAGGTGTTAATATTCAGGCAACTGTACTGGCCTGTCTTTGGGGTTCTGACAGGATAGACCCTCAGATGCAGCCACTAAGAGCATCTCTTGTGCACATTCACTGTGTTCCCTTTTAAAAGGGCCCTGTCCACCTTCTCTCTCTCTCTCTCTCTCTCTCTCTCTCTCTCTCTCTCCTTTTCTCTGCCCCTCCTTTTCTCTCTCTTCCTCCCTGACGGAGGGGGGGGGCCGCAAAAATATCAGACTCTTTCCCAGGAGCCCGAATCTCCCATTGTCTTCCAGATGCCAGCTAATTACCTCTGGTTGGCTTGGCCTCAGTGGAGAATGTCTCCTAGTTTGCATAACAACAGACCTAGGCCCTGGGTGTGCCTACACCTGTTCTTAGGGCTTGTTTACCTGCCTAGGGACTGTTTAGGTGTGCCTCTAGGGTTAAAAGAATTTTTTGATATCAGCTTTATACATGATAGTAGATGTCTTCTGCAGTCACCCCCACTGTTGGAAAACTATTTAAGAGGATGCTTGAATAAATCGTGGACTCCAGACTCCAGCATGGACTGAGAGCCCTCCTGAAATGACAAGATGTCTGTGTCTCCTCTTTTTCGCCACCATTGGGTAGCTAGGAGTTTTCCGGTCCAGCACTCACCAACTCAGGGATGGACCCAGGGTCATTCAGCTGGCTACAATCGCAGCCCCAAAGACATCAGTCGGGAATAGATAGCCTCTGTAGTATGGGACTGGTATAAGTTGGGCCCCGAAAAATCTCCCTTTTCCTCCATCCTCTCCCACCTCCCTCCCTTTCTCTCTTTCTATCCCCACCTCTCTCTATGCTTCTCTCTTCTCTTCTGCCACTCCTGTCCCCAAAGGCCCATCTGCCCTCTCCCAAGCCTACTTTCCCCCTATTAAAAAAAAAACAACCCTCCACCTGTTAGAACCCTGGAAAACTCAGGTATCCCGGGTCCCAGGCCATGACCGCAGTCACCCCAATCACCAGGTGGATTCGAGAGCTTGATGCAAACTGCATGAGGCTTTATTGTAATTTAACGAGCTAACCCCATGTTAGCTCCGGTCTTTCACCCACTGACCATGGCAGATGGCTCGCAAAGATCCTGAGAAGCCACAGGACAGATACCTTATAGGGCAGCGTAAGGGGAGTGTCTAGGGTTATGCACAGGCTCACTATTGGTGTGCCTCCAGCCTTGGAGGGCTTGCCCTGTGTTGATTGGTCAACTGGTTGTTATGGCCCATAGGCCCTCCCAGGGTGGTTGCTATGCTCTGCGTCATTGCTGTGTGCTTGTCCATAAAGTACACCCAAGGTCGTAAAGCATAGCACCACCAGCTACCTTCTGATTGGTTCCTTCTCACGAGGCAGGCATCTGACTTCCTAGTGTCCAGGACAAGGTCATACAAGCACGTGTTCGGCCGCTATGACTGCCGAAAGGGGAGCTGGTCCCTTCACAACCAAGCTCTGTCGCATGGCATCTTTCTCTCATGTGCTGCTTTTCTAAATTATAAGACCAGGTTCAGTAGCTTCTCATTCAGAAGATCCTCTATTCCCCTTCTAGACTACACCAGGTGACTTTGATCTGGGAAATCTCTGTCCTAATACACAAATATGTCAGGGCTTTTTCCTCTGGTCTGACTGCAAAGTAATTCATAATAAACAATTTGCTTTAAATAGTTTCTTGGTTACTTTCCTTGTTGTTCAGATAAAATACCCCCAAAAAAGCAACTTCAGAAAGTGTTTGTTTTAGAAGGTTACAGTCCATCATCATGGTCATAGTAGCAGCAGGAGCTTGAAGCAGCTGTTCATGTCAACTCCACAGTCAAGAACTCCTCTACCCCAAGGATCAAGGAACATCACGGAAGTCGGGGCAGAGAGTTTATAAGAGGATGAGGAGGAATGATGGGAAATGCCATCCAGAGGATGTTCAAATAACTTAAACACAAAAGCAAAGAGCATGAAAGTTGGTATTCAGTTTACTTTCTCCTTTTTATATAGTTTAGGAGCCCAGACTAGGGAATGGTGCCACCCACCATGGGTCGGTTTTCTCACTACAATTAGCCTAACCAAGATAATAGCCCGCAGACAGGCCAAGAAGTCCACCTGCTAGATGATTATATAGTCCATCAAGCTGACACTGAGATTAACCATCATATGTG